AAAAAAAAAAAAAAAAGAACGCATACATGCGGCCAACAAACATGAGAAAGAGCTCAACATCACCGATCATTAGAGAAATGCAAATCAAAACCATGATGAGATACCATCTCACATCTGTCAGAATGGCTATTAGTTGTTTGGTTGCATGTTTGTTTTTTTGAGACAGACTTTCCCTGTTATTGTCCAGGCTGGAGTGCAATGGTGTGATCTCAGCTCACCGCAACCTCTGCCTCCTGGGTTCAAGTGATTCTCCTGCCTCAGCCTCCCAAGTAGCTGGGACCACAGGCGCCCACCACCACACCTGGCTAATTTTTTGTATTTTTTAGTAGAGATGGGGTTTCACCGTGTTAGCCAGGATGGTTTCCACCTCCTGACCTCGTGATCCATTCGCCTCGGCCTCCCAAAATGCTGGGATTACAGGCGTGAGCCACCATGCCCGGCCAATTTTGTATTTTCAGTAGAGATGGGGTTTCTCCATGTTGGTCAGGCTGGGCTTGAACCCCTGACCTCAGGTAATCCGCCCACCTCAGCTTCCCAAAGTGCTGGGATTACAGGCGTAAGCCACCACGCCCAACCCCTATTTGATTAAGGCATTGTAGTAGAGATTCTATATTACAGAGTTGATTGCAAATTTGGGTCAATCAGCCACTATGTCATATAACGTAAGATAATATAACTTGAAATACATTAGATATCTAAGTATAAAATAATAAAAACAAAAGTGAAGAAGTGTGTGTGAAGACAACTTGATTAAGACAAATCATAAAGCAAAGTGACTATATGAAAGTTAAGTTTTTTCCATGGTGAAAGCATAAACAAAATTAAGAAAAAAACAATAGATTGGGAAAATATTTGTAACACATAAGAATGAAAGTCTGTAACATATAAACAGTTTCTACAAATTAATTAGAAAGAAACTAATGACTAATAGAAAAATGGACAAAGGCTGCAAATAGGCAAATTGCAGGAGAGGAAATTCAAATAGACAATAAAAATATAAAAAGACACTGCTCAGCCTCACTATTCAGGAAAAAGCAAATTAAAACAAGAAAGAGATGCCACTTTTCAATGATTGGCAAAAGTTATAAAGAGTAACCATATCTGCGCCAGGCACGGTGGCTCATGCCTGTAATCTCAACACTTTGGGAGGCCAAGGGAGGCAGAGAACTTTGAGCTCAGGAGTTCGAGACCAGCCTGGACAACATGGTGAAAACCTGTCTCTACAAGAAATACAAAAATGGGCTGGCCATGCTGGCTCATGCCTGTGGTCCCTGCTACTTGGGAGGCTGAGGCTGGAGGATTACTTGAGCCAGGAAGTGGAGGTTGCAGTCAGCTGAGATCACGCCACTGCATTCCAGCCTGGGTAACAGAGTGAAAGAAACCCTGTCTCAAACAAACAAATAAAAAGAGTAATCATACCTCATACTGAAAGCATGAATAAAGGACACTCATACATGCTGGTGGGAATATAAATTGCTAAAGCCAATTTGGAAAATAGCATTTGAGCTAGCAGTCTGTTTGGGAAATCTATCCTACAGAAATAAAAGCATCAATTTGTAACCAAGTAGCTCAGCTTCAAAATGCATTTTGAAACTTTTTTCCTTTCTTACATTCAGCCTTGAAACAAACTTTAAAATTATTTGTTGGCTGGGCCTGGTGGCTCATGCCTGTGATCCCAGCACTTTGGGAGACCGAGGCAGGTGGATCACTTGAGGCCAGGAGTTCGAGACCAGCCTGGCCAACATGGTGAAACCCCATCTCTACTAAATATACAAAAATTAGCAGAGATCATGCTGCTGCAATCCAGCCTAGGCAACAGAGTGAGACTCTGTCTCGAAAATAAATAAATAAATAAAGCTTTTTGTTTCCCTTCCCACCAGATAGACATTCTTGTGCACAGTGCTCGCTTAGATAATTATGCACTTATTTAGAAATTCATGGGGCTAATTTTGGAACACATGAGGCATGAAGACCCAACTGCTAAATTCCAGAGATTACCTCAAGGCAGTTAACCTACAACCTGGCCATTGATGAGATGACAGCAGCCCACGTGGGTGGACCATGACTCAAGACAGCCCTGGAACAAGATACACAGGCCTCATACCCAGCACTACTCCTGCATGGCTCCCATTCCAAGTTCCCCTTTTTTTCTTTCTTTCTATCTATCTATCTAATCTATCTTATCTTATCTATCTATCTATCTATCTATCCATCTATCAATATTTTGAGATGGAGTCTTGCTCTGTTGCCCAGGCTGGAGTGCGGTGCCGTGATCTCGGATCCCTGCAACCTCCACCTCCCAGGTTCAGGCGATTCTCCTACCTCAGCCTCCCAAGTAGCTGGGATTACAGGCGTCCACCACCAGGTCCTGCTAATTGTTTTGCATTTTTAGTAGAGATGGGGTTTCACTATGTTGGCCAGGCTGGTTTCAAACTCCTGACCTCAAGTGATCCGCCTGCCTCGGCCTTCCAAAGTACTGGGATTACAGGCATGAGCCACAGTGCCCAGCCAAGTTCCCCTAAATTCCTGAGTTTACAGGCTTGTGCCGGGCCATATTACATAATTTTTAAAGCCAGTGTTATGGTCCTCATCTGTTAGTTCAGAGCAGCGAGGTCCAGTGGAAATATAACGTGAGCCATATGTGTAGTTTAAAATTTTTAGCAGTCACGTTAAAAACAGTAAAAGGAAACAGGGGCTCACATCCCAGATAAACACCCGGGTCTTTTTAAAAACTCAGGCGTGGCTGGGCGCGGGGCTCATGCCTGTAATTCCAGCACTTTGGGAGGCCAAAGCAGGCAGATCACAAGTTCAGGAGTTCCAGACCAGCCAGCCTGGCCAACAGGGCGAAACCCCATCTCTACTAAAAATACAAAATTAGCCAGGTGTGCTTGCAGACACCTGTAATCCCAGCTACTGGGGAGGCTGAGGCAGGAGAATCGCTTGAAACAGGGATGTGGAAATTGCAGTGAGCCAAGATCACACCAATGCACTCTAGCCTGGATGACAGAGTGAGACTCCATCTCAAAAAAAAAAAAAGAAAAAGAAAAAGAAACAAACAGCCCAGGTACAATGGCTCACGCCTGTAATCCCAGCACTTTGGGAGGCCAAGGCGGGTGGATCACCTGAGGTCAGGAGTTCAAGACCAGCCTGGCCAACATGCAGAAACCCGTCTCTACTAAAAATACAAAAAAAATTAGCAGGACGTGGTGGCAGCTGCCTGTAATCCCAGCTACTCAGCAGGCTGAGGCAGGATAATTGCTAGAACCCTGGGGACGAAGGTTACAAAGGTTGCATTGAGCTGAGATGGCACCACTGCACTCCAGCCTGGATGACAAGAGTCAGACTCCGTCTCACAAAAAAAAAAAAAAAAAAAAGGAAACAAACAAATGAGCTGACATACTTAATGGTAAACGGTTGAATGTATTCCCCTTAAAATCAGGAGCACGGCACAGATGTCTACTGCCACCATTCCCATTTAATCTATTAATAACATCATATTGGCAGTTACAGTTAATACAATCAAGCAAGAAATAAAAGGCATAGGCATCAGAAAGGAAGAAGCTGTTTCTATTTGTAGACAACACTGTCTACAAATAATCTACAAAAAAAGGTTCTGAAAACGCATAAATGAGCAATGTTATTCAAAGCCACAGCTTTTACATCAAATCTTCTATCTCCAGATCCTTATATCAAATTGCCAACTGGATATCTTCACCTGTATGTTTCCCAGGAACTCCTAAGACTCAGTATTTCCAAGCCCAAATTATTGATATCTGTCTAAACTTGGTCTTTCAAGAAAATTCCCTATTCCTCTGGTAATGCCATCAATTTACTTATTCTAATAGAGCTTCCCAATGTTGATTGATCCATCTATCCACGCTGAGAAATGAAGGTTTGTCTTAGACTATTCCTCTTACCTGCCCCATATACTTGGTCAGTTAGGCTATCAGTTAATCTTGTTATGAAACCAATTGCCCCAAACCTAGAGTCTTAAAAGACAGTAATCTATAGGCTGGGCGCGGTGGCTTATGCCTGTAATCCCAGCACTTTGGGAGGCCAAGGTGGGAGGATCATGAGGTCAAGAAATCGAGACCATCCTGGCCAACATGGTGAAACCCCCGTCTCTACTAAAAATACAAAAATTAACTAGGCGTGGTGGCGCGTGCCTGTAGTCCCAGCTACTCAGGAGGCTGAGGCAGGAGAATCACTTGAACCCAGGAGGCGGAGGTTGCAGTGGGCTGAGATCATGCCACTGCACTCCAGCCTGGTGACAGAGCGAGACTCCGTATCAAAAAAAAAAAAAAAAAAAATTCCCCTACTTATGTTAAGAGTACCAAAAATAGGGCCAGGAATGATGGCTCATCCCTATAATTTTGGCACTTGGGGAAGCCGAGGCGGGAAGATAGCTTGAGTCCAGGAGTAAAATAGTGAGACTCTGTCTCTACAAAATGATAAAAACTTAGCTGGATGTGGCACACACCTGTAGTCCAGGTACTCACGAGGCTGAAATGGGTGGGTCACTTGAGCCTGGGAGGTCAAGGCTGCAGAGAACTGTGATCACACCACTATACACTACACCCAACCTGGGCTACAAGGTGAGACCCTGTCTCAAAAAAAAAAAAGAAGTACCAAAAATCTATAACTGTTTCAGGAATAAAATACATGCAGTTAGTGAGGTTTTTCTCCCCCACTGCTATGACTAATTTTTGGTTGAGATGCTAAACCAAACACCATTTTAAGTCTGTGGCCCAACCAAAAAAGGGAATCATACTCTCCAAAAATTGTACCTTCCCACTCTAATTGCTAAAATAAAATGTTGCCTTATGAAAATCAATTCTGTAGGTATCAGTGAGTTACAAAAGCATGGCTTATTTAAAAAAAAAAATAGTGGGCCAGGTTACCTACATGAACTGCAAAGCAAGCAAACTGAATTTTCTTATCCAAGAGCCCATCCTCATACTTACAATTTCCCATGACTACGTGGAAATTCTTTCACTTACCGGAAAGACCTGATTGGCACTTTCACTGAGAGTTGAATCATCTGGGCTGTCGACAGGTGTCTGATGTGTAGACTCGGAATCAAACTGACCTACATCCTCTTCAGATTGCTTTATACAAACAAAATAATTTAGAAAATAATAAATAGTCCATATGACATCAATCAAATGCACCGTAAGCTCTGGGAGCTCTTTTTGCAGGGGTTAACTACAATGAATTATTAGAATAGTCTTAGCAGGCACAGAATGAAGAAAAAATGCAGGTGGAAAGTACTGAGTCAAATTACATCTTCAAATCTTAAACATGCACTCGAATAGATTTTAGTATACAGTTCTTCCTATTAAAAATGTGAATATATCAACTGGACATGGTGGCTCATGCCTGTAATCCCAGCACTCTGGGAGGCTGAGGCGGGCAGATCACAAGGTCAGGAGTTCGAGACCAGCCTGGCCTATATAGCGAAACCCCATCTCTACTAAAAATACAAAATGGTAGTGGGCGCCTGTAATTCTAGCTACTCAGCAGGCTGAGGCAGGAGAATTGCCTGAACCTGAGAGGCAGAGGTTGCAGCAAGCACAGATCGTGCCACTGCACACCAGCCCAGGCGACAGTGTGAGAGTCTGTCTCAATTAAAAAAAAAAAAGTGAATATATGGAACTCAAAACAAGCTGGAAAAAATCTGAATACCAATTTCCCCTCTCACAAAGCTTCCATGTGCCTAGTCCACTGGCTAAATCCCTGTGTAGAGATAATTAGTTCAGTTGGCTACTGCAGGTTTGTAATAAACCTGAAAAACTACTGAAGCAGAGTTAAAACAAATTTTTTAATTCATGTGTTTAACTGGTAAGATGCTCCAGTTAAAGCTTCTTCCCACAGATTATTTCATTCCTTTGAAATCTAAAGGAGCAAAACTACTTCTCTATTCTGCATGGGTTATAAGTTATATTTCCCTGTGAAAGTGTAGTTATCACTTCAGTGCTAACCATGAGATTGATTTATTTAATTCCTTCTCTCTTTCCCAAAATATCTGGTTAGACTCTTGGGCCAAATGTAGGAAGTAAATAATAATTTAGAATATCTGACTTCATCCTAAAAGGTGACCACACTGACCTTATAATTCTCCCAGAGCCCAGACTGTGAACCGCACTCCCTGGAGGAGCCGCTGATTCCAGGTGTGGGGAAATGCACAAGATAAGCACAGAACACCAGTTTCCTTATTTTGCTCTCTGGTGCAACACCGGCCCATGTGCTCATGTCAAAAGACTCAGAAACCAACATGAAGACGCACCCAGCGTTCACTGCAGCCAGCATTCAACGAAGGGAAAAACTGAGCATCAATAAAGACAACTGCCAGCGCGGGGGCTCACGCCCATCATCCCAGCACTTTGGGAGGCAGAGGCAGGCGGATTTCTTTTGAGCTCAGGAGTTGAAGACCAGCCTGGTGAACATGGCAAAACCCCGTCTCTCCCAGAAACACAAAAATTAGCTGGGCATGGTGGTGTACCTGTGGTCCCCGCTACTAAGAGGCTGAGGTGGGAGGATTGCTGGAGGCCGGGAATCAAGGCTGCAGCGGGCAGAGATTACACCACTGCACTACGGCTTGGGTGACAGAGTAAGACCCTGCCTCAAAACAATAAATGAATAAATAAAAATAAAATAAAAACAACTCCAATGAAATGAAACACAAATGTGTTAAAACGTGTAAGTTTAGAATGTACTAAAAAATAAAAAATCACACACACAAAGTTCATTGGTCAATTTTGGGAGATGCTAGGGAACTAATTATTTTGAAAACTAGCAAAGAGTCAAACATACATCCTGCCTTTCCTGTATGAACCATACCTTGAGTAACTAACTGATCAAACACTTTCTCTTTATGAAAGAATTCCAGCTAACAAAGAAAGAAGAAATAACAGAATAAGACCATTTCACAAACACCTGATGAAATTATAAAAGTAGGCCAGAGTTTCTCAACCTCAGTGCTGCTGACTTTTTAGGCCTATTAATACTTTGCTGTAGGGGGCTGTGCTGTGTCGACTCTTACCCCTGAAGGTACCTGTGGCATTCCCTCCCCCACGCTGTGACAATCAGTGTGTCTCCGGACATTGCCAAATTACCCTGGTAGTGAAATGCTGACACAGGAAATGATCAGTGACCACTAACATCACAAACACACACACACACAACTACACATTATGCCTCCTGATCAAAGCATGTAATACTGAGAGTTTAATCTGAATCAGATCAACCACCTAAATTTAACTACCAGTTTTTGGAAATTCAGGGAATAGATGAACATGGTCAGTGAAACCATGGGGATAATATCAGCAAAATCAAAATTTGAGGATTCTGCAGGACAAATGACCCGGTTTCGTCAGTAAATCACAAGGGGAACCTGTAAATAACAAGAGACCTAAGAGACATAGTAACCAAGTTATACACAGACCTTGATTAAATCCTCACAAACAGGACGAGAAAAAAAAAAGAATGGAACAACAACAACAAAATTAGGTGGGGCGACACAGGGAAACCTCATCTCTAGAAAAATTCAGAAAACTAGCTGGGTGTGGTGATACACCCCTGTGGTCCCAGCTATATGGGGGGATCCCTTGAGCCTGGGAGCTTGAGGCTGCCATGAGCCATGATCATGCCACTGCACTCCAGCCTGGGCAACAGAGAAATATCCTATCTCAAAAAAAGAAAACAAAAAAAAAACCGGGCAACCTGTCAACTTCTGAGGTGTGATGCTGGGATGCCAGTTATGTTTAAACAAGATGACCTAATCATTTTTTACGCTGGGCGGTAGGTGTATGACAGTTCTCCTCCTTACAATTGTCTGTTGTTTTTTAAAGTGGGTCACATTATGCTCCATGACCAAAAAATAATCACCATCATCATCCTCCTCTTTCTCCACCTACATCCCAAGGAATGGAAAAAGAAACTGTATTTTCTCAGATTCTGAGGTGGGAGAAAGACAATAACACACTAACTCATTTACTCATGAACATATTGCTATGAGTTGAAGCGTGTGCCTTACCCACCCCCCAAAAAATTTCGTATGTTGAAATTCTAACCTCTAGCTCCTCAGAATGTGACCTTATTTGGAAAGGGTTATTGCAGACGTAATTAGTGAAGATGAGGTTCTACTGGAGTAGAGAGGAACCCTAATCCAGTATGCCTGGTATCCTTATAAATAGGGGAAATTTGGCCACAGATATGCACACAGGTAGAACACCATGTGAACATGAAGGCAGAGATCCGGGTGATGCACCTACAAGCCAAAGAATGACAGAGATTACAGCAAACCACCAGAAGCCAGGGGAGAGGCATGGAACATACAGTTCCTCACAGTCATCAAAGAAACCAGCTCTAACAACATGATGTAGAACTTCTAGTCTCCAGACCTATGAGATAATAAATTTCTGTTGTCTCAGCCACCCGGTTTGCGGTACTTTGTTGCAGCAAGCCTAGCAAACGAATGCACATATATTCTATAGTTTGAAGAAGGAATTCCCAGAAAATCATATTTAAAATGGCTAAATTAAGCAAAATAAAATAAACCAAAAAAAGAAAAGTCCCAACTACCTGAAATACTTGTCTTAGGAAACTGATTTAAAAATAGCTCATACAGTCAACTGCCACTGGCTTTAGTTCTTTAAAAAACAGTATAAAAATAAAAGATGCTTGGCTGGGTGCAGAAGCTCACACCTGTAATCCCAGCACTTTGACAGGCTGAGGTGGGTGGATCACTTGAGTCCAGGAGTTCGAGACCAGCCTGGGTGACATGATGAAACCCTGTTTCTGCAAAAAATTAGCCAGGCATGGTGACACGAGTCTGTAGTCGCAGCTATTCCGGAAGCTAAGGTGAGAGAATCACCTGATTCTGGGGAGGTCAAGGCTGCGTTGAACTGTGATCATGCTACTGCACTCCATGCTGGGTTCCTGGGTGACAGAGTGAGACCCCGTCTCAAAATAAAATAAAATAAATAAAAAATAAAAACAAAGATGCTGAAGAGAGGATAAACCAGAGATCTCTGAACTGCTAATGAAAATAATGTTTCTGTCTGCTCTGAGATTTTTTTTTTTTTTTTTGAGATGGAGTCTCGCTCTGTCGCCCAGGCTGGAGTGCAGTGGCCCCATCTCCGCTCACTGCAAGCTCCGCCTCCCGGGTTCATGCCATTCTCCTGCCTCAGTCTCCTGAGTAGCTGGGACTACAGACGCCCGCCAACACACCCAGCTAATTTTTTGTAGTTTTAGTATATTCGGGGTTTCACCGTGTTAGCCAGGATGGTCTCGATCTCCTGACCTCGTGATCCGCCCGCCTGGGCCTCCCAAAGTGCCGGGATTACAGGCGTGAGCCACCGCGCCTGGCCGCGATTTTTCTTATTCCAAAAAAGTCTCAAGCGATCCTCCTGCCTCAGCCTCTCAAGTAGCTGGGACTCACAGGCACATGCCACCACACCCAGCTAACTTTATTTTTTTTGAGACGGAGTCTCGCTCTGTCGCCCAGGCTGGAGTGCAGTGGCATGATCTCCGCTCACTGCAAGCTCCGCCTCGCGGGTTCGCGCCATTCTCCTGCCTCAGTCTCCCGAATGGCTGGGACTACAGGAGCCCGCCACCACGCTCGGCTAATTTTTTGTATTTTTAATAGAGACTGGGTTTCACAGTGTTTTCCAGGATGGTCTTGATCTCCTGACCTCGTGATCCGCCCGCCTCGGCCTCCCAAAGTGCTGGGATTACAGGCGTTAGCCACCGCGCCCGGCCCAGCTAACTTTTAAATGTTTTGTAGAGATGCAGTCTTGTTATGTTGCCCATGCTGGTCTTGAACTTCTGGCTTCAAACAATCCTCCCACCTCAGCCCTTTAAAGTTTTGGGATTACAGGTATGAGCCCTTGCACCCAATTATATGCTTTCATGTATACTTACCAACAGAGGTTTAAAGGGGGGGCTCCACCTTTCCAGCCAGAAGTTCTTCCCAGTTAATGTGTCTAAAGAATGGATGAGCCTAGGGGAAAAAAAAAGCAGAAAGAAAAGTTGAGGGGAATAGACTTTGCTGGATTGAGAAATTAATCACCTTTTTGAAGTTACAAGTCACAAAATAAGCTAAACTTAAAAGCAACTACATATAACCCTGAGAAATACATAAAACTAGCACTATCTTCCCCACAAAACGCCAAACATGCCAATCCCTACTTGAACTTCTCCAGGGTCCCCAGGCTCAGCTCCCAGATGAGAAGCAGCTTGAAAGAGGAAAAAACAGCGTGGATAAAGAACCTTAGTCAAACTGATTTCTTTCCTTTTTAGACTTTGCTTGTCTACTTTGCCTTGAGAAAATATAGTTTATTGGCCGGGCACGGTGGCTCATGCCTGTAATCCCAGCATTTTGGGAGGCTGAGGCAGGTGGTTCACCTGAGGCTGGGAGTTCGAGACCAGCCTGGCCAACATGGTGAAACCCCTTCTCTACTAAAAATACAAAAATTAGCCCGGCATGGTGGTGCACACCTGTAATCCCAGTTACTAGGGAGACTGAGGCAGGACAATCACTGGAACCTGGGAGGCGGAGGTTGCAGTGAGCCAAGATCATGCCATTGCACTCCAGCCTGGATGACAGGGCAAGACTCCATCTCAGAAAGAAAGAAAATAGAGTTTACTAATTACTACTGAGTAATTGTTTAAGGGTCTGTAATCCCAGCACTTTGGGAGGCCAAGGCAGGTGGATCACCTGTGGTCAGGAATTCCAGACCAGCCTGACCAACATGGTGGAACCCTGTCTCTATTAAAAATACAAAAATTAGCCAGGCGTGCTGGCGGGCGCCTGTAATCCCGGCTACTCCAGAGGCTGAGGCAGGAGAATCGCTTGAACCTGGGGGCTGAGGTTGCAGTGAGCCAAGATCGCGCCACTGCACTCCAGCCTGGGTGACAGAGCGAGACTCTGTCACACAAAAAAAAAAAAAAAAAAAGAATTATAAAAACCAATATGAAAAGAAAGTCGTTAGATAAATCTGTACTTCGCCTTCAAAAACTGAAGACTTTTTTTGTTCAATATGTATTATTCAAAATATACATTAAATTCTATCTAGTTAAATCCTAGTCATTGAATCTTATAGTGTTGGTGACCATTTAAGAACCTTACCTTTTTAAGCAGATCTCTGGCTTCTTGTGTGAGGTAGGGAGGCAAATTGAGTTTACATTTGAGGATGTTGTCAGTTGTTTTCCTTCCATTCTCCCCAGTGAATGGGGGCTAAGAGTAGAAGACAAGTGAAAAATATGAGCAGGGAGTGAAAAATATTAGCATATAAGAAACAAATTTTAAATAACAATATTATCTATTTCCTGAATTAGTTATGCATGGAGATCAGAAATGTATGCTGTGAAATAGGCTAACTGCTAAAGACCTTTATTTTGTTTTAGAGACAGGGTCTCGCTATGTTGTCAAGGCTAGATTCTATTAATAATCCTTGCTCCAATGATCCTCCCGCCCAGCCTCCTGAGTAGCTTGGGCTACAGGCACGCACCACTGTGCCTGGCAGAAGTGCAGTTTTTAAGCAACAGGACAGAGGAAGTAGCAGTGTCCTAGAAGGAAGCCTGTGTTTCTGCCATTAACTTATTGTGTGATAATAAGTGAGCTATGTGATTTTATGCTTCAGTTTCTCCATTTTAAAATAAGGGCCCCGAGTAGCTGGGATTACAGGAGCACACCACCATGCTCGGCTAATTTTTCTATTTTTAGTAGAGACGGGGTTTCACTATGTTGGCCAGACTGGTCTCAAACTCCTGACCTCATGATCCACCCACCTTGGTCTCCCAAAGTGCTGAGATTATAGGCATGAGCCACTGAGCCTGGCATAGGAATTCTTTATACTACCCTTGAAACTGTTTAAGTATGAAATTATGTCAAAATAAAGTTTTTTCGGGCAGGCACAATGGCTCACAACTGTAATACCAGCACTTTAGAAGGCAAGGCGGGCAGATCACCTGAGGTCAGGAGTTCAAGACCAGCCTGGCCAAACGGTGAAAGCCCAGCTCTACTAAAAATACAAAACAATACCCCGGTGTGGTGGTGCATACCTGTAGTCCCAGCTAAATGGGAGGCTAAGGCAGGAGAATCGCTTGAACCTGGGAGGCAGAAGTTGCAGTGAGCTGAGATTACACCTCTGCACTCCAGCCTGGGCGAGAGGAGCGAAAGTCCATCTTCAAAAAAAAAAAGTTTTTCCAACAGCAATAGTCACAAAAAAGTGGCTACATTCTGCACCTTTCTGTTCCATGTTACATGTTACTGTGAAATCTTTCTCAGAGAACTGAACCGTGTTTGGTAGAAATAGATACTTGTGGCCGGGCACAGTGGCTCATACCTGTAATCCCAGCACTTTGGGAGGCCAAGGCAGGCGGATAACGAGGTCAGGAGATCAAGACCCTCCTGGCTAACATGGTGAAACCCCGTCTCTACTAAAATAATACAAAAAATTAGCCAGGCATGGTGGCGGGCAACTGTAGTCCCAGCTCCTCGGGAGGCTGAGGCGGGAGAACGGTGACAACCCAGGAGGCGGAGCTTGCAGTGAGTTGAGATTGGGCAACAGAGCCAGACTCCATCTCAAAAAAAATAAAATAAAATAAACAAATAAATAAAGTACATTTTAACTTTTAAACTCCTGCTACGGGCCAGGCGTGGTGGCTCATGCCTGTAATCCCAGAACTCTGGGAGGCCGAGGCGGGTGGATTACCTGAGGTCAGGAGTTTGAGACCAGCCTGACCAACATGGAGAAACCCCGTCTCTACTAAAAATAAAAAATTAGCCAGGAGTAGCAGCACATGCCTGTAATTCCAGCTACTGGGGAGGCTGAGGCAGGAGAACTGCTTGAACCCGGGAGGCAGAGGTTGCGGTGAACCAAGATCGTGTCATTGCACTCCAGTCTGGGCAACAAGAACAAAACTCCATCTTTTAGAAACAAAACAAAACAAAACAAAAAACTCCTGCCGCAAGTTTTTAAATCTTACGTGAATGAAAACACAACGATGCTGGGATTATTTACCTGGGGAGAGGGAGAAAAAAATCAAAAAAGTCCTCTTAACACAAGAATGAAGCAAAGCTTTTAACATCTGCCTGTTACCTGTTTACTTCCTGTCCTTTTTTTTTTTTTGAGATGGAGTCTCGCTCTGTTGCCCAGGCTGGAGCACAGTGGGGCGATCTCGGCTCACTGCAAGCTCCGCCTCCTGGGTTCATTCTCCTGCCTCAGTCTCCTGAGTAGCTGGGATTACAGGTGCCTGCCACCACGCCCGGCTAAATCTTTTGAATTTTTAGTAGAGATGGGGTTTCACCCTGTTAGCCAGGATGGTCTCCTTTTCCTGACCTTGTGATCCGCCCGCCTCAGCCTCCCAGAGTGCTGGGATTACAGGCGTGAGCCACTGCGCCTGGCCCTTTACTTCCTGTCTTATGGCCAGCTAGGATGACTGCAGTCAAGTAGGTCTGGTTTCTCTTAAAGAGCCAAACTCATGAATTTAGAATTTTAATTTAAGTGGCAAGAAATGATGTCATGCATGCTGATTTCCCTTCTGAAAGGAATTAGGCTAATCAGCTATTATTGTTCAAATGCAATGGTACTCAAAATTTATTTTAGATCCCTCTCCCTCCCATCCTCAGAATGGAAAAGCAAAAATAAATGTAGAGCCAGTACTACCCCTTCTTATAAAACACAGTAAGTTTCAATGGCATTGTCTTACTGTGAAGAATAAGTTCCTGAAAGTCACACTTGAGTATTATTTATATCCCAGTTTGTTTCCAAAAGAGGTTCTGCAGCATACGACATAGTAATATAGGCCGGGCACAGCGGATCACACCTGTAATATTAACACTTTGGGAGGCTGAGGTAGGCAGATCGCTTGAGCCCAGGGGTTCAAGACCAGCCTGGGCAATATGGCAAAATCCCACCTCTACAAAAAAAAAAAAATTAGTTGGATGTGGTGGTGGCACACCTGTTGTCCCAGCTGTTCAGCAGGCTGAGGCGGGCAGATCAATTGAGCCCAGAAGGTCAAGGCTGCAGTGAGCCATGATTGCACCACTGCACTCCAGCCTGGGTGACAGAATGGACCTATCTCGAAAAAACAAAAAATATATATATATAGCTATATATATACAAACACACAGACACACACACACATATACACACAGATACTATATATATATGCACACACTATATTACACACCCTACAATATATATACACTTACATATATATATAAACTACAACAAACAGAGTAGAAAATTAAGTTGAAATAGTTTTAAAAGGACAGAAGGCATAAGCCATAAAAGCCTACTGAGGCCGGTGCAGTGCCTCACACATAAAATCACGCACTTTGGGAGGCCAAAATGGAAGGACCACTTAAAGTCAGGAGTTCAAGGCCAGCCTAAGCACGAAGTGTGACCTCATCTCTACAAAAAATAATTTTTTTTAAAAAAATAGAGTCTATTGGCAAGGTGTGGTGGCGCATGCCTGTAATTCCAGTAGTTTTGGCGGTCGAGGCGGGCGGATCACGAGGTGAGAGAAACCCTGTCTGTACTAAAATACAAAAAAAAAAAAAAAAAAAATTAGCCGGACATGGTGGCAGGTGCCTGTAGTGCCAACTACTATAGAGGCTGAGGCAAGATAATAGCCTCAACCAGGAGGCGGAGCTTGCAGTGAGCGGGGATGGTGCACTCCAGCCTGGGCAACAGTGCAAGACTCCGTCTCAAAAAAACAGAAACAAAAAAAGAAAACGGGGAAACGAAACAAAACAAAAACAAAAACAAAACAAAAGGCAGGCGTGGTGGCTCACGCCTGTAATCCATCACTTTGGGAGGCCGAGATCGTGAGGTCAGGATATCGAGATGATTCTGGCTAACACGTTGAAACCCATCTCTACAAAAAACAAAAAATGAGCAGGGCATGGTGGCGGGTGCCTGTAGTCCAGCTGTTCTGGAGGCTGAGGCAGGAGAATGGCGTGAACCCGGGAAGTGGAGCTTGCAGTGAGCCGAGGTCCTGCCACTGCACTCCAGCTGGGCAATAGAGTGAGACTCCCTCTCAAAAAAAAAAAAAAAAAAAAAAAAAAAAAAAAAAAGCAACAAACTGTGTATATGCTTTAGAAGTGGTGTGTACATTTCCAGCATTATAAATGAAAAGAAATGAGTGGCAATAGTTACTTTGGTCCTAGATTTTTGGTATCTTAACTAGTTTTAGATCTCTTCCACTGAAGAGATTGCCTGTTGAACGTTGTTAGGAATGGAAGCACTGAAGCAAACTGCTTGGGTTTGAATTTTGTTCTATCCCTTGCACTCTGCCTGGGTTCAAATCCTAGCTCTGCTTAGTAAGTTCTTTTAAGGTGATGATCTTTGAGCAAATGTCTTAGCTCCTGTTTTCCCAAGTAAATGGACACAATAGTTGCTACCTTGTGGAAGATTCTGTAATTGACCAGTGTTTACCAAGTAGCATCAGCCTTCAGTTTTAGTCATTGGTGATTCTGTATTGGACTGTGAGAGGGTTGGGGTGGGGGGGGTGTGTGTGTGTGTGTGTGTAGCACTTAATTGCATGCAGAAAGGAAGAGATACTTTTGATAAGGGAGAGGCCACTTTTCTCTGCTTTTGTGTCAAAGGGAGAAGGGAGTTTTGGAAAGGCATACGAATTTTGTTCAATACTAAGCTCTCTTCCTCAAAATCAGAGGTACATAGAATGTGTAATAATTTGCAGAATTTCTTGACTTCAACAATTTTTTTTAAATTTATTTTTATTTTTTTAGGCTTAGACTGAGCTACAGTTAATCTGTGGCGACGTTCTGGATGCACTGACAACACCTCATTCCAGCAGCTACCACTGGCAAGTCCAAGGTTGTCTATTATAAATGTAGGTTCTATACTAAGAACTACAAGTGTACTTCAATAATTTTAAACACTCTCAAGAATAATTGGCTTTGTTTCTTTTTTTCTTAGATATTTCCTATTATTTTCTTATTAAATATAACCAAAAATCCCACAGAAATTAACTGAGGAGCTTCCAAGTATCAACAAAATTATCACTCCATAGACTAGATTAAACAAGCAAGTGGTTCCAAGAAATGCCACAAGTGTATGAATCATAACATAAAATTTCTACACGAACATTCAGCCAGGACTGTGCAATGTGTGGCCGTTTGGGGGAGGGAATGAGATAGGTTCCATGAAAGCAAATAATATAATAACTAAGCAAAAGCTAATGCATTTTTATAATAGCCTGACCATCTTTTTATTCCAACATCAACTATCCTTCTAACATTAAACAATTATTTTTAAATAAAAATTGGAAACCTACATAAAAGAAAGTCATGATTCTAAAAGGCCAACTTTGAATCTTACATTTTCCTTTCTAGTATATAACTACATTTCATAATAGAAACCTTGGATTACCAGTGGTAGCTGCTGGAATGAGGTGTTTGTCTAGTACTCCAGCATGTCGCCACAGATTAACTCCAGCTCAGCTCGACCTGAAAAATAAAAATAAATTTTAAAAAATCAGATTGCTGAAGTCTAGAAATTCTGTAAATTATTAACGTTCTATGTACCTCTGATTTTGAGGAGAGAGCTTAGTATTGAACAGAATTCCTTTCCCTCTCCAAACTCCCTTCTTCTTTTGATACAAAAGCAGAGAAAAGCTGCCTCTCGGTCATCAAAAGTATCTTTTCCTTTCCGCATGCAATTAAGTGCTACACACACACACCACCCCCACCCAGCACCGCCTCAGTCCAACTACACAATCACCAATGACTAAAACTAAACACTGATGCTACTTGGTAAATGCTGGTCAATTATGTGAATCTTTCACAAGGTAGCACTACTGTGTCCATTTACTTGGGAAACAGGAGCTAAAACATTTGCTCGAAGATCACCCCTTAAAAGAACTTACTAAGCAGAGCTAGGATTTGAACCCAGGCAGGGTGCAAGGGACAGAAAAAATTCAAACCCAAGCAGTTTGCCTTCAGTACTTACATTCCTAACAAGGTTCACAGGCAATTCTTTAGTGGAAGAGATCCAAACTAGTTAAGATACCAAAAATTATGGACAAAAAAACTATTGCTACTCAATTCATTTATAATGCTGAAAATGTACACCACCTCTAACGCACATTCTTAGCGTGCTTCCTATTTTTTTTCTTTTTCTTTTTCTTTTTTTTTTGAGACAGAGCTCACTTTGTCCTCAGGCTGGAGTGCAATGGCGCAATCTCAGCTCACTGCAACCTCCACCTCCAGGGTTCACGCATTCTCCTGCCTCAGCCTCCCGAGTAGCTGGGACTGAGAGGTGACAACCTGCTAGCAGCCCTCGTCTCTGCGCCTCCTGGGCCTCGGCGTCCACTTGGTGGCTTGAGAAGCCCTTCAGCCTGCACTTCATGTGGGAGCCATCTGGGCTGGTCGAGGCCAGAGCTGGCTCCTCTGCTTGCCCGGGAGGGTTGGGGGGAAGCGCGGGCGGGAACCGGGGCTGCGCCCGGCACTCGCCGGCCAGCGCGAGTTCCCTGTGGGCGTGGGTTCGGCGGTGCCCGCACTCGGCACCGGGCAGTGAGGGGCTTAGTACCTGGGCCAACAGCTGCAGAGGGTGCGCCATGTCCCGCAGTGCCGGACCGCGGCGCTGCCTTGAATTCTCCTCCGGGCTTCAGCTGCCTCCGAAGGGCGGGGGCTCGGGACCTGCAGCCTGCCATGCCAGAGCCTCCCTGCACCCCTCCGTGGGCTTCTGCGTACCCCGAGCCTCCCCAGAGGAGCGCTGCCCCTGGCTGCGCGCGCGCGCGCTTGGTCCATGGACGCCCAAGGACTGAGGAGTGCAGGTGGCACCGCGGGACTGGCAGGCCGCTCTGCTTGCAGCCCAGTGAGGGATCCACTAGGTGAAGCCAGCTGGGCTCCCGAGTCTGGTGGGGACATGGAGAACCTTTATGTCTAGCTGAGGGATTGTAAATGCACCGATCAGTACTCCGTGTCTAGCTCAAGGTTTGTAATACACCAATCAGTATCTGTATCTAGCTACCTAGTGGGGACTTGGAGAACTTTTCTGTCTAGCACTCTTAGCACTCGTGTCTAGCTCAAGGTTTGTAAATACACCAATCCTTACTGGAGAACCTTCTGTCTAGCACTGTGTGTCTAGCTAAAGGATTGGTAAACGCACCAATCAGCACTCTGTCAAAATGGTCCATCAGCTCTCTGTAAAATAGACCAATCAGCAGGATGTGGGTGGGGCAGATACAGGAATAACGCAGGCTGCCAGCCAGCAGTGGCAATGCTCTTGGGTGCTCTTTCGCCGTGTGGGAGCTTTGTATTTTGCTCTTTATAATAAATTTGCTGCTGCTCATTCTGGGTCACTGTGAGCTGTAAACTCACCTTGAAGGTCTGCAGCTTCACTCCTGAGGCCAGCGAGACCACAGCCACCAGAAGGACATGAACAACTCCAGATGTGCCACCTTAAGAGCTGTAACAGTCACCCGAAGGTCTGCAGCTTAGCTTCCACTCCTGAAGCAGCGAGACCACGAACCCACGGAAGGAGAAACTCCGACACGTCCCAAACATCGGAAGGCACAAATCTGGACACACCATCTTTAAGAACTGTAACACTCACTGCGAGGTCTGCGGCTTCGTTCTTGCAGTCAGCGGAGACAAGAAAGAACCCACAATTCTGGACCCAGGACTACAGGCGCCACCAGCATGCCCGGCTTTTTTCCCTTTTTTAAAATATTTTTAGCAGAGACAGGGTTTCACCATGTTAGCCAGGATTGTCCTCGATCTCCTGTCCTGTGATCCACCGCCTCAGCCTCCAAAGTCCTGGGATTTACAGGCATGAGCCCCATGCCCCGCCACTTCTTTCTATTTTCTGTGAACTCATGGCACCACTGTTTGAACCTTTCTAGTTCCTCTCATGTCCCTGGAACCCATTTCTGTAAACATTCTCTCAGTCTTTTTTCTGTAATTGCTCCTTATCTTAGCTAAGCCAAACTGTTTTCTGAATCAACTATCTCCCTGATAGCTTTTCAAATAGAGACTGCTGTAGGAGACGAAAGGTTTCCATGTTCTCCTAGCTCCTCACATACTCAATGACTGCTCCTGTTTCTCCAAACCTTCTTCCTCAAAAGCCGATATTCTACATTCCATTTCTCCATTTCTGTCATCAATAGATCTCTAGGCCTTCTCCTAAATTCATTGACTATCTACATGCAAACTATCCTATACTGACATACATCAAAGTATGGTGTGGCCACATTCCGTCAACAGAGTTCTTTGCTTTCTACTCCAAGACTTGCACTTGGTCCATACCCTTAACTGTGCCGTCATACTAGAAGTTTATATTGTTAATGCTCCACTCTTAACCATGGCTTCCTCTTTAATTCCTTTTCTCTTGTTGTTCTATTTAGGAACTGATCAAGACATCTACACTCTTTCTTTCTTTTGCTTTTTTTTCTTTCTCTCTTTCTTTTTCTTTCTCTCTCCTTCCTTCCTTTTTCTTTATCTTTTCCTTTTCCTTGCTTCTTGCTTCCTTCCTTCTTCTTATGCATGTATTCATGTAACACATGCAGACTCAAATTTTCACATCTTCTCCCAATGTATCAGTTGCTGTCTTTGCTTCCTGCTTCCCTTTCTAGCTAGCCCAAGTCCCACAGTGTAACTCATGGACTTCTTTCTTCAGCTTTTTCAGCTTTCTCACATCCTCATTCCACTGGGACACAAAACTTGTCTATTGGTCTCAAAATTCTTTGACCCAACATTTTCATGGTAATGGTAACATCAATCCAGCTTACAACTTTACTTTTAGAGACAGGGTCTCACTTTTTTGCCCAGTACTGCAGCTTCCAGGAGAAAAAGTTACTCATCTCTGCCTGAAATATTCTATAGCTTAATCCACGTGAGCGAAAGACAAAAATCTACCAGATGTAAAATGTGTACTATATATACAGTCATCTGAGTACTAGACTGTGACTCAAATGCCAACGACTATGGCTAATTACTAACAGAAATAAGCCTGAGAATAAGGCAGACACTCAACAAGCCTCCCTTTCAGAGACATTTTCTAGAACCATAAAAATAAAAGGCAAAAATTAGGACATATTCAGGAACAACAACTCCTTCCCCAGATAATTTCTGTTGCATAAACCCAAAGATTAAAACTATGACATTGGATTAAAGAAACTGAGTCTTTCAATAAAAAAGAACGAAAATTTAACCAAAAACACTCATATTTTTCTTGAAAATAAATAGTTCCCTTTACTGAGAGGGATCCATTGACCCGAGTAAATATGCTGAACCATGGATAATAGCAACTTATATATATATATTCTGTTTATACATACATACTCATGGTAAAGTTTAATTTATAATTAGGCAAGTGAAAGATGAATACAGAACAATTATAATACTCTAATAGAGTTATATGAACGTACTCTCTTTTCTCTCAAAATATCTTATTGTGCTGTACATGGTAACAAAACTGCGGATAAGGGGGACTATGTACAACAGTCTCACCATTTGCTGGTATTTCTGAATCATGTTTATGCTTGTCTTTCTCCCTGTTTCCTTCTTTCTGTTCAAGGCTGCTGATTCTTTCCAGGAGGCTCTTCTAGCTCCAATCACATTCTTAAATGTAACGAGGGAGGTTTCTTTCTCAGCTGTCAGCTCCATCATCCCTGTACTTTCTTCATTGATCACCATTTCTATAAGGGAAGCAAAATCTGTACACCTGCAGAATAGCACCTCATGGATGCTGCCGAAGGGTTTCTGCTGTGTCTCTGCAGGGGTGACATCAATTCTCCCCTGGACAGGAGCCATTAAGCAACACTTGGAGCAGTCAGGAGTGCCACACCAGAAGTGGGGCCAGTGACGTCAGGAGTGCTGGGCGCAAGTCCCAAGGTCTCAGGGCGCCAGGGCCTTCCTTGGAATCGTACTGCCGTCAGTGCCTGGCATCATGGCTGTGATGAGAAGTGCAGCCTGAGCGATCTACAAACTGCCTTCAGGTCTCTCTTCCAATTGCTACTGGTGAGATCAAGCCTGATCCATGCAGGCCTCTGACCCACCCCTCATGTCTCTCCTCCAAAACACTTTTTATCTGTTCATATGGAAGGCTGAGAAAGGCTAAAAATTTCCAAATGTTTAAGTTCTGCTTCCATTTTGATTATAAGTTCTGTCTCTAATCATTACCTCTTTTCTTTCATTTTCCTAGAAACATTCAAGAGAATGAAGGTATTCCTTCAATAGTTTTGCTTAGATATTTTTCTGCCAAATTTCAGGTTCCCCGTTCGCAAGCTCTTCCTTCCAGAAAACACTAGGAGCAAATGCAACCAAGTTCTTTGTCACTTTATGACAAGCATCACCTTTCCTCCAGTTTTCATAACATGTTCTTCATTGCCATCTGAGACTTCATCTGAATGACTTTTCCCTTTCATAATTTTTATTTTTTTAAGAGAGTGAGACTCCCTATGTTGGCCAGGTTGGTCTTGAA